ACACACACACACACACACACACACACACACACACACACACACACACACTCCAACTCTTCATCTCATGGAGAGGTCAGTGTCCAGCAAATATCTCCCCCTTCCTCTGCCCCCGCCCTCTTCAATCTTCAACTCTCCATCCCAACGAGAGGCGGTGACCTGCAAATTGCTTGGCAACGCGCGCAGGAAACTCCATCCAAAGCCCGGGGTCCAGGCGGCCCCTGGGCGCTGTCCAGCGGGCAGAGCGCCTGAGAGGCCAGGCTGGGGTCCTGTCTCAGAACACCCCGAAGCTGGGGCGCAACGCCAGGGCCGGGATTTCGAGCGGGGGTGGGGCAAGGCACTGTCTCCAAGGACACCTGTTGTCGCCTCCCCACTCAGGACAGCGAAGCTGCCCTGGCCGACTTGGATCTCAGGGGAAGGCATTGGCTGGCAAGAAGTGCTGGGGTGAGTATGGGGGTCACGGGAGACTCCCCACGAACACCCCGCGGAGGCCGCCTCCCTTCGTCCCTCCTCACCGGCCCCCTGAGACTGGTGGCACGGGGTGGCGTTCGCCGTTGGCTCCGTGCGCGGTGCTCGGAGCCGCACGGCGCTAGGACCTCGCGGCTGGCGCCCCCCCCCTCCGTCCACCTGCGGCGCCTAGGTCGCTCCCCGCCGCGGGTTGTACTCACCAGTGTCGGGGTGAGCAGAGTCCCGGCGTCGGCGCTGAGGTCCGCGCCACCACCAGCTCCCCAGCCCAGCCTCAGTCCCGCCGCCGCTCTAGCAGTGCTGCCTCCGGGTCGCCGCGCCACCACTGCCCGCTCGCGACTCTGGGCTCGCTGGGCGCCCGCCGGCTCTGGGCGCAGCTCCCGCCGCTCCTGATTGGTCATAGCGTGTGCGAGAGCCGCGCTCTGATTGGACAGAAGGAGTGGAATGGGCGGGGTCACTCCTGGAGCTTTGCTGCCCTGGTCTTGGTCCCCACCTCACCTGGGGCCAGCAGGACTCTGAAACAGGCTCAGAACCCCTCTGCCCCCAATGGGGTCGGCCGAGCTAGCAGCTGCGGGTGGGAACAGTGTCGCAGGAGTGGCAGGAACTTGGGATCGTTATGGAATCCAGCTACAGTCCCTGAGTGCGGGTGGTTGTAAACCTCCACCATGCTGGGAAAGGTGCTCCCCTGGATTCTCTCATGCAAGCCACTTTGACTTTACATTTATTTTTCTGTACTTTTTACTGTAGGGTGTAGGGCTTAGGACTGACGTCTGTAAACAGTAGGTGCCAAACAGCGTTTGTGAACTCAAATTGTTTGTGAACGCCACACACAATCTGTGTATGGTCCCTACCTACCAGAACTAACAAAAAGGAAGCGATTTGTGGGAGAGCCCAATACCGTCAATATATTAAGAACTCTGTGCTAGGTACTGTCCAAGAAAGGAGAAAGATGGGTTGAGGTCACCGACAAAGAACTTAATACCTAGTTGGAGAGCTGAGGCTGATTCATAACATAATAATTACCCTAATACTAACAAGGTGCATATTACTTGGCAGGCATTATTCCAAGAACTTTATACACACTTTTATAATCCAGAAATTCAGGAAAAGTCTGCCATAAAGACATTTATGTGTGCGTGAGCCTCAGGGATAGAGCACAGACGTTCTGAAGAGGCCACAATGTCATCGGAAAGACAGGAGCAGGGCCCTAATCTCTGGGGAGAAGAGGGGACCATAACTGTTCCCATCATGCATCTCTTTCCTCGTAGCTCTTTAACCCTCTCAACCTACCTCTTCTGGATCTTCCTAAAAAAAATAAAAGCAGGCTGTGTAAATCCACATACCACTCTTACAAACGCTCTGCCACCCAGACAGGCAGTGGGATAAAAGCAGCTCCATGTTCTGCCGTTTATATTAATGAACAAGTAAACAACACACCATATGTGACCATTTTTTCTACAATCTTTTCTCTCTTTCTGTGCTTTTGGGCTCACAGAACCCTTGAGAAGTGTGGCTGGTAGAAAAGTGCTTGAAAGATACCAGTTGGGGGACTGGAGAGATGGCTCAGTGGTTAAGAGCATTGCATACATAACAAATAAATAAATATTTTAAAAAAAATACCAGTTGGGATCCAAGTGGACCTATACTAAACAGTGATTGCGTCTATTCCAGGTCAAAGTTAGGAACGCCCGTGGGAGAAAAACCATCTCCATTTTCTGTCGCTTATATTAATGAACCTTTATACTGGAAAAGCAGACTGGACGTGGGTTGAGCCTCACTTGGGTGGAAAATGGAGTAAAACAGGACAGAGGCAAGGTGAAGAAATCCTATCAGGGGCACTCCTCTTCAAGCCTTGGAGACACACACACGCATGTGTGTATACACACACACCCTTACACACGTACATGCTTGTGACTCCTGGCCGATCACTTTTCATGGCTGTGGCCTTTGCCAAAACAGAAGTCCAGTTTAACTGCGCCTACGCTCACTTCAAAGGAGAGACGCTTACTTCTTCCAGAGTTGGAGGCTGACCCAAGATGACGTGTCAAATTGCTCACTTCTGGCTGCAGTGAGCAAACTTCAGCCCACAAATACGAGGAAAGAATGAAGACCACGAAGTCTACTTGTCGTGTGGGCGAGGTCACTTACACATAGTTCTATACCCTGCCTCATCTAGGAAAAATGCTTTGCTTGGCTTTCACATTTCTTCTTTCCTGAATGGCACATAGCACTCAAGAGTGAACTGAAATATCCCTTCCAGTGTGAGGCCTTCACCAAGTCTCTCAGGCACACAGGAACAGTGCTGCATCCATCTGTCGCGAGTCTTTTTCCACTAGATTTCATTGGTGCACAGTCCCATTGTCTAGCTTACGACATTCTGAGCGTCGTAAGAATGTACTTTCTCAGAATGTACAGCGTACATTCTGAGAGGGCAGAAAGCACTCTGGGGAAAGCACTCATTCCATCCTATATGAAGGACCTAAGCCTATGCAAGTGGAGACTGTGCTTTTGTTTCCCAGTCACCCTGACCCAAATCATCAGAACACGGTAGGCACTCCGTAAACTGAATGAGACTAAAATTTCCAACAGGTTAATAAAATGCTAACCACATACTTATCCTAAATTTCAACAGGGTACCCTCCAGTTCCTGAATGAGTGGATATTGCCTTAAAGGTCACATCCATTCAACCCAACTGTAAACGAGTAGTTCCTGTATGCTGGATGTTGTTAAGTAAAGAAAAAAAATGATAGCCTTATTGTATGGACACAAGGTGAAGTGAGATTAAATACCCGATTTACAGAACAATGTTTCTTTGAAAAACTAAGTTAAGAATTGCAGCACAATATAGTAATTCCACTTAAATTGTCAAGATGACTGGCGTGGCATGGTGGTGCATGTTTTTGCATCCCACTACTTTGGAGACAGAGGCAGTTGGACCTCTGAGTTTGAGGCCAGCCTGCCTAGCAAGTTCCAAGCTAGCCAGAAGTACATTTGGACTCTGGGTCAAAAAAGAAAAAAAAATAAATAAAAAAGAAAAGAAAACGGAAAACATACATCTGCATAAAAATTTATTCAAGAGTATCATAGTATTGTTATAGATCATGGCTGGAAAGTACAAAACCAAGAAGCTCATCAATTGCTCATAAAGAACATTGCAAATACCCAGTGTGATGGACTGTTTTTCAGCTACAAATGTTACGCAAGGTGAAAGAAGTCAGAAGCCAAAGGCCACATAGCGTATAATTCCATTTCTATACAATATCTACAATAGGCGAATCTGTAGAGACATTGCAGAGAGCTGGTTACTGGGAGACAGGGATGTGAGGAGTAATTACTTCATGGTGGCCAGGTCTCCTTTGAAGTAAAACAAAACAAAACAAAACAAAAACTTGGAAATAGAGAACAAATGTCTGCTGATTTGGGAGAGCAAATCTATTACTATTGTACAGCGTACATTCTGAGAGGGCAGAAAGCGCTCTGGGGAAAGCACTCATTCCATCCTATATGAAGGACCTCAGCCTATGCAAGTGGAGACTGTGCTTTTGTTTCCCAGCCACCCTGACCCAAATCATCACATAAAGACTATATTAATTCCAACACTGTTTGACCTGCTACTCAGGCACATATAAGCTATCTCTTACATCTTAAATCAACCCATTTCCATTATTTTCTATTTTACCACAGACCTCGTGGGTTGTTACCTCATATCTTGCTTCTTGGGTGCCTACAGGACATCTACCTGACTCCACCTTCTTTCTCCCTGCATTTGGTTTAGTTTTCCTGCCTACCTATATTCTGCCCTGCCACGGGCCAAAGCAGCTTCTTTATTAACCAATGCTAATAAATCATATTCATAGCACACAGAGAAGAATTCCACACCACGTATGCTTCTCTAAGTATAAAAGGAAGCTAAATATAACTCATTTAGGCCTCATGCCCCCACCTCATCAGTCCAGAGAAACTTTACTTGTTAGATCTGTGCTGTCTAAAAGAATGGCCTATTAAAATGCAAACATTGTCTTTTCATCTTTTTCTGGTGTTATTGTGAGATAGATTATCACACAGCTTAGGCTGATCTTGAACTCACTATGTAGACAAGGATGGCTTTGAAGTCCTGATCCTTCTGTCTCCACCTCCCAAGTGTTGGAATTATACAGACACATACCACCACAGCCAGCAAAGTGTTGTTGTTGTTGTTGTTGTTGTTTTTTATTTGAGACAGTCAATAAAGTAGTCCTTGGACTTGAAATGCGGTTCATTGTGACTTGAAATACTGAATTTTAAGTTGTACTGAAATATGAATAGCTTCATGGAGCTAATGACCACCAGTACAGCAGTGTAACCTGAGCTGGCTTAACGAATTAGAACCACGTGCGGTGGTGCCCACCTTTAACCCCAGCCCTAGGGTGGCAGATGCAGGTGAATATCCATGAGTTTGAGGTCAGTGTGATCTACATAGCGAGTTCCAAAACAGCCAGAGCAACATAGTGAGACTGTCAACAAAACAACAACAACAACAAAACACATTAGAATGTCTTAGCTGGTAAGGTTGTGGAGAGTCTGTGTCTTTGCCTGTAGCCTGCCTCAAGCCTGCACCCACTCGATACCCTTCAGCAGCATTTCACTGTCTCCCTCTCCCTTTGCAGGGTCACCATGCACACCAGTCCACCAGGAGTTAGCTGCTCCTTTATGCAAAGCGCTTCCATTCACAAGTGCTTATGGATTAGTCAGTTCATGGGACATACTGACATCGGAAAGAGTAACTATTTCGGGCAACTTTCAAGTGCTGGCTTAGACTGGAGAGACGACTTGGTAGTTAAGCGAGGGTATCGTTCGTAGAGGACTTGTGTTTCACGCCCAGCATCCTATCAGGCAGCTCCCACCTGTCTGCAACCGGAGCTCTAGAAGATTTGACAGCCCTTGATCCCCTTGGGTACATACACACAGATAAGTCGTAAGAATTATTTTTAAAGAGCTGGTCTTGAAAGTTAAGAGGAAGGGAAGACAGAAGAAATCCCTCTGAAGGGCATGACCCTTCCCTCCAAGGCCCCCATTCACTGCTTTTCTAAGTGGGAAATTTTGCTGCCACGATGCCAATGTTGGAGAACCTTACAGTTTGTAACATTATATTGATTTTGGCTTACTATAGCATGTACTTGTGGTGGTCAGAGGGTCATTGGCAGAAGTTGGTTCTCCCTTGCCACCACTTGGCCTCTGGAGATCGAACTCAGGTTGTCAGGCTTGTGATTTTACACTGAGCCATGTCATTGCCCCGAAGAATCTTTTAGATCATTTTCCCCAGCCCAGGCCTCGAGACATTCTTAACTTCCTCAATACATCTCTAACTATACTTT